CTCATTCAAACAAGTGGTATTTAGATTTTAGTTGCAGTAATCATATTTGTGGTAACAAATCCTTATTTTCTGATTTAGATGAGTCATTTAAAGATAATCTCAAGCTAGGGAATAATTCAAGAATAACTGTCATGGGAAAAGGTACTATTCAATTGCAAGCCAAAGATCATTTTTTCCAAATTCCTGGTGTTTTCCATGTTCTAGATTTAAAGAGAAATCTTATTAGCATGGGACAGCTGCAAGAAAGAGGTTATACGATCATCATTCAAAAGGGTTATTGCTTAATTCAACACCCTGAGAAGGGTTTAATAACTTAGGCTAAGTTTGGCAACTCTTAAAAAATCTAAAAAGTCAAAAAGTCACTATCGTATTTAAATCACATCATCTTATTTAAGTCACATCACCTCTCTAACACATCACTTCAAATCCAACCCAAACCCAACCTATATTTCATAAAAAGTCAAAAAGTGCACTTATTTAGGCCTAGTTTGGGAAGACCAAATAAGTGCACTTTTTGACTTTTTATGAAATATGAGTTGGGTTTTGGTTGGGTTTGAAGTGATGTGTTAGAGAGGTGATGTGACTTAAATAAGATGATATGATTTAAATAGGATAGTGACTTTTTGACTTTTTATCTTTTTTTAATCATGCCAAACTTGACCTTAATATGACAGCTAATCGGTTGTTTCCTCCACCTGTTCAGAATAATGATCAAGCCTGCTTGACAACTAAAGTACAAGATTCTTATGGCACTTACGCTATGGCCATCTTAATTTCAAGAGTTTGCAGACTTTGGAACAGAAGAACATAGTGACTAGTCTTCCTCAAATCAATGCTCCATTAAAAATGTATGAGGATTGTGTTGTTGGTAAACAACATTGCATTTCCTTTCCAAAAGAGAAAGCATGAAGAGCTAAGCATCCATTGCAACTGATTCATTTAGACCTCTGTGGTCCAATTAATCCAGCCTTAAACAACAACAAAAGGTACTTTATTTCATTTACAGATGACTATAACAGGAAAACTTTGATTTATTTCTTGCAAGCAAAGATTGAAGCTTTTGGTGTATTTAAAAGCTTTAAAACATTAGTTGAGAATAAGTCAATGAGGGATATTAAAATCTTTTAAACTGATCGTGGTGGCGAATTCTATTCCTATGAATTTGCATCTTTTGTACAATGCATGGAATTTGGAGACAATAAACAGCAGCCTACACACCACAATAGAATGGTGTATTAGAGAGAAAGAATTGCACAATCCTGAACATAGTACGAAGTATGTTGGCCATGAACAGAATTCCAAAGAGTTTTTGGCCTGAAGCTATTACTTAGAGTGTATATGTGTTGAACAGAAGTCCTACTTTTGCTATAAAAAACATGACACTGGAAGAAGCTTTGAATGACCACAAACCAGCCGTTGATCATTTTAGAATTTTTAGGTGCATAGCATATGCACATATTCTTGATGTGCAAAGGAAAAGGCTTGGTGACAAAGGGGTGAAATGTGTTTTTCTCGAGGTTAGTGAAGAATCTAAGGCATACAGATTGTATAATCTAGTTACTAAGAAGATAATCATAAGTCATGTTGTCATTTTTTATAAAGAGCATGTATGGGACTGGAATGATGCAGGGCAGCAACAAATTTTAATAAATTTTGATGGTGATGAAATCAAAAAAGGGACTGATCAGTCTAACCAACAGCAGCAATTACCAAATGAAGTTGTCACGACCCAAACTCGCCCCTATGGGTTTAGCATCGTAACCGGCCAGTAATACGTGATTACCAAAGGCCTGCTTAACAGTAAGGACAGTAATACAGAGTAAAGGGGCGGGCGGAAGCCAATCAGTAAATAACAGATATCCAAAGAGCTGTGAAAACCTGAGTGCAAAATGACTTTATGCACAAGTCACATTGATAAACAAAACATATATACATACATTATATACACATGACATCCGGATTAGGGACCAAGTCCCTTTAACATAACTGTACAGTCAAGTCTAAAACATTCATTACAAACAGAGACAGAAAGGTGAAACTAAGACACCCTAAAAATAGCCTTGGCTTGACAGATTTGAAACCTCGAAGTGAGGCACAGTGGTTGGCTTGACAAAACAAAAGCTAACCCGACGCTCCTAGCTCCGGTCCGGTGCTTAGACACCTACATATAGATATAAACAGTGAGCTAAAGCCTAGTAAATAACATATGCGTAAAGGGGTTAAGAATGAATGTCCTTTCAGTAATTAAAACAGTCAATTGTATTAGTAAAACAGTTACTCAATCAATGGCTCATATTTCATGCCATAACAGTTATTCAGAAACCATAATAGTCATATGTGGTACATCCAATAGCAAAACAGTACAATAGGTCTTGACAGACCGAACAGTCGGTTGATGGCCATCAAACAGTAAACAGTAGTGGTCCCAACATTGAAATCGACAGAGATCTCTGTAACAGTAGCAGTAACAGTAACAGTAAGTTGCTATGGATGCCACGAATACAGTTTACAAATAGGACAAACATTCATTCAGTAAAAGATACTATTTCAAAAAGCAATATATCAATCATTCAAAAATAGTTATAATTGAACGTATCTTTATAACATTGTTACTCACAGAGTACTAGGCTACAGGCAGCTAATGAGCGTCCTCGGATGCCAACCCTACAGTTGCAGAACGAACACACACTCGAGATTAATAACTTAGCTCCTAACTATATTGGTGTGGTTCTATAACATTATCCTCATTAAGATGCCTTAAACATGGCCTAGGAATACCTAGGATGGAATGAAGATGCAAAAATGTACCTTAAAACACTTTTCAAAATTTTGCTAAAACAGGAGTCTCGCTCGAGCGTGGCTTTCTACGCTCGAGCAGACATGCAGACAAAGGAGCTCCGCTCGAGCGTATTGTAAACTCATGAAAAAGTACTGGATGCACGATTTTCACGCTCGACGGACCCTCAACCTCTACTCGAGCGTAAGACTTAAACCCTCGCTCGAGCGTGAATTCTCTCGCTCGAGCGGACTGCAAAACATATAAACTTCTGGGCATATGCATTTCACGCTTGAGCATGACTTCCTACGCTCGAGCGGAAGTGCATGTACTCACAGTGTACGCTCGAGCATGAAGTCCTCCACTCGAGCGTGGATCCAAAATTTGGAATTTCCAAATTGATCCTCAAGCAAAAAATTCAACTTCTAAAGCTTCAAACTCGATTCTCTTGGGTTAATTTTCTGGAAAACACTTGAAGACTCATAGTACAACATGTTTCAAGGATCAATTTATGAAATCAAGCCCAAAAGTAAGCCAATTGAACATAAAATTAAGTGTAAATACGAAGAATAATGCAAAATCATACATACATGAGTTTTCAAGAGCTCTAGTGTTCCAAAACAAGATCAAATGCAATGTTGAGCTCAAAGTCATGGTGAATTCATGGACCTCTACCAAAATATGAACATGCATGTAAGAGTTTTCATGAAAACAACCTCAAAATGCAAGAATATGTACATGCATGCATGAATTAGCTCACAATTCAACTCTTCAAATTAATTCTTGACTTTAAGTCCAAATTTCCATGAAACATGCAAGAGATAACTTGAATTCACAATTAAGAAGATGATTTTCCTACCTTAGACCTTGAATTCTAGGTGTAGGAGCCTAATGTACAATTCTCCTTCAATTCTCTTTCAAATTCTCTTAAGTTCCAAGCCAAACTTGTTGAGTCAACTCTTTTCTTCCAACTCCCACTCTCTCTCACGGTTTTGGTCTCCAAATGGATGAAGATGATGCATCAAAATGATATAAAATCAATTAATGGCCTAAAGTGCCCACTAAATGGCAATTGTGTAAATAAAAGCCAACCAATGTAATACAACTTTTAATTAATCTAGTTTAATCATTCCAAATCGACTTTCAATTAAACCTACCATAAAATCACATAAATTCTAACTAGCATAAAACGCTAACCCATTTCTGAATCGGTCGCCGATAAGGCTTTCAATTCGGAATTCAAAATCAAAACATGGATAGATCATTCAGTAACCAAACAGATAGAAATGCAATTCAAATAACACACTCATGCAATCAGTCCAGAATTTCAACTTAATTAGTTACTTATCATGCTCAATCATAGATTAGCACTAATCAGAGGTGAGGGTTATCACAGAAGTGCTCTTTAATCCTTCTGCAAGTGGTTCAAATGAAAAACACCTACAAAATGTATTCAGTCCACAAGTTCAACGCCAAAGTAAAAGGCCAGCTTGGATGATGGACTATGTAAGCAGTGATGAGTTGTCTAGTAATGATACCATTGTTCAGTTTGCCTTATTTGCAGATTGCGATTCAATTGCTTTCGAAGATGTAGTGAAAGACTCAAAATGGTAGAAAGCCATTGATGCAGAAGTAAAGGCTATTGAAAAGAATGATACATGTGAGCTGTCTGATCTTCCACAAGGGCAGAAAACCATCGGTGTGAAGTGGGTTTATAAAACCAAACTGAATAAGAAGTGAGAAGTAGACAAGTACAAAGCTCGATTAGTCGCAAAAAGGTTACAAGTAGGAGTTTAGGGTTGATTATAAGGAGGTCTTTTGTTCGTGTTGCCAGGCATGATACAATTCGATTGGTAGTATCTTTGGCAGCACAAAACTCGTGGCTTATTTTCCAATTGGAAGTGAAATCTTCCTTTCTTCATGGTGAGCTCCATGAACAAGAGTATATGTCGATCAGCCTCCTGGTTATGTGCAACAAGGTAGTGAGAAGAAGGTGTACAAGTTGAAGAAGGCTTTATACAGACTGAAACAAGCACCTAGAGCTTGATACAGTCTTATAGATGCTTATTTTTCAAAGGAAGGCTTCCAAAAATGTCCATATGAGCATACTCTTTTCATTAAATCTGGACTCTTAGAGAAACTTCTTATTGTTTATTTATATGTAGATAATCTAATCTACACAAGGAATGATTAAGCCATGTTTGAAGATTTTAAACATTCCATGATGGCTAAATTTGATATGACAGATCTAGGTATGATACACTATTTTCTTGGTATTGAAATAGTGCAATCTGCAATCGGGATTCTCATTACTCAAAAGAAGAATACTTTGGAGATGCTGGACAGATTTCAAATGATGAATTGCAATCAAGTTGGCATCCCAACTGAACCAGGATTGAAGCTAACTAAGGATCTTGAAGGAAAGAAGGTTGATAACACCTTATTTAAGCAAATTGTTGGAAGTTTGATGTACTTAACAGAAGCCAGGCCAAACATTATGTATTCTGTTAGTCTCATTAGTAGATATATGGAATGTCCAGCAGAGTATCATCTTCTTGTTACAAAAAGGGTGTTACGTTACTTGAAAGGCACATTTGATTTTGGAGTTTTTTATAAGAAAAAAGTAGCTTTAGATCTCATTGGTTTCTGTGAAAGTGATTATGCAAGTGATTTAGATGGGAGAAGAAGCACTTCTAGCTATGCTTTTATGATGAGTTCGGGAGTTGTATCATGGTCATCAAAGAAACAGCAAGTTGTTACCTTGTCTACAACTAAAGCAGAGTTTGTTGCAGCAGCTTCTAGTGCATGTCAAGCTGTTTGGTTGAAAAAAATCATTGATATGTTACACAAGAAATAGCAGGGGCCTCTACAAATTTACTATGATAACAGCTCAACAATCAAACTCTCCAAGAATCCAATTTTTCATGGAAGAAGCAAACACATAGATGTGAGGTACCACTTCCTTCATGATCTTGCTAAGGATGGAATCTTTGAAATGATATATTGTCGAAGATCAGATCAGATTGTAGATATGTTTACCAAGCCTCTCAAGTTGGCTACATTTGTGAAGTTGCGTGATTTGCTTGGAGTTTGTTCAGTTTGTTCTTTAAACTGATTGTATGAACATCATTCAGTTTAAGAGAGAGTGTTAAGAGTGTTAAGATATTAGTTTGTTATTTTCAGCTAGTTGAATAATAGTGGTAGACCGATTCTTGAGGGAATAGGTTCTTTGTTGATCATTTCTCTACAAAAATCCTATAAGCTTAAAAGTTGTTAGTTATGAATTAATTGATGCTTATTTTTAGCAAAGTTTGTTTTTTGAATTGTTATTTATTCAGACTTTCAGTCAATAAAGTTTTGTGCTTGAGTTATATATATTCTTTTGACTTCTACTTCAGTTTTTTAACACTTGATTTGAACAGATAGGTTGAGAATATAATGGATATACTTCAGATATATGTTTACGTTTCTAAGTTGTTGTAACAACCCCGACCTCTGACTAACGTTAATCCGTGATTAATTTGTGCCTAATTAGTCATTAAGGTGAAATTCTGAATTGAACTGCATGTGTGTTGCATTGTTTGTGTTTATATCTGTTAGGCGTAGGAAGATTTGTTCATGTTTTAGTTTCGATTTGCGAATTGAAAGCCTTATCGGCGTCTGAATCAGAAATTGACTTGATTTATGTGTTAATTAGGATTTATAGAATTTTATGGTAGGTTTAATTAAAATTCGGTTCGGAGCGATTAAATTTAATTAAAATAATGTCATTTGATTAGTTTTGTTAAATTACTACCTACAAGGCCATTTTGACCCCACTAAGGTTATGTTTTCATTTCACTCTTCCATTTCCTTGATGCCCAACGTGAGGGAGAGAGAGAGTTGGAAGGAAAAATTTAAATTCATTTAGAGATTAGTTTGAAGAGTTAAAGGAATTGAAGGAAAATTGCATGTTTAAGCTCCCACACTTGGAATTCAAGACTTAAGGTAGGAAATTCATTCTTTTAATTGTGAATTTAAGTTGTTCATACATGAATTCAAATAAATTGAGCTATAAGATGTGAGAATCAAGCTTAAGGAGTAGGGAAGTAGATCAATCCATGCATGCATGTATGTTTCATAGCATTTTGAAGATTGATTTTCAAGAATTCCTTCATGCATGTGTTGAGTTCACTTTAATTTTGGAAACACAACGAGTTTCATGCTATTTAAAAGCATTTGATCATGTTTTGGAGGACCTTAGCTCAAAAATGAACATGCATGTTATGTTCATGAATTAATTTTGAGTTTAAAGTTGAGTGTTTGTACAATTGGCAAGCCTTTGGCCCCATTTGTTTTCAGAGATAGAATGGAGAGGATTTATAGCGAGGGGATTGTTAGAGAGGGGATTAATAGTGAGGGGATTGATAGTGAGGGGATTAATAGTGAGGAATTGTTAAATTATTTTTATATAAAATAATAAAACAAATAAAAAAATAAACATTATATTTTTAAAAAAATTCCCAATATATAAAAATAAAAAAATTTCTAATCTCCTCACTATTTTTTTAATACCATCTCTACCTCCTCCTTACCAATCCCCATTCCTCCTCCTTACTAATACCAAGGGATTACTAGTCCCCTCCCTATCTCTCAAAACAAACACCCTATTCTCAATCCTCTTCTCACTATCAAACCCAATCCCCTCTCCATAACCTCAAACAAAGGGGGCCTTTGAGCCATGATTTCTTGTTATAATTCTTTAAACATGTTGTGTTATGAGTTTTCATGTATTTCCTTAAGTTTTGGCCTAGAAAAATGAGTTTTGGATGCTTCAAAAGTCGAATATGGAATTTCCAGAAATTTGATCCACGCTCGAGCGAGGAACTTCACGCTCGAGCGTGCACTCTGAGTACATGCACTTCCGCTCGAGCGTTAAGAGTTACGCTCGAGCGTGAGATGCATATACCCAGAAGTTCTTGTGTTTTGCAGTCCGCTCGAGTGAGGGAATCTACACTCGAGCGAAGGTCTGAGTGTCACACTCGAGCGTAGGTCGAGCGTCCGTCGAGCGTGAAAAACATGCAACCAGTACTTTTTCAAGAGTTTATAGTCAGCTCGAGCGGGAAAAGTCATGCTCGAGCGGAGCTTCATTGTCTGCATGTCCGCTCGAGCGTGGATCTTATTTTCAACAAGTTTTAAGAAATTCTTTCCAGTGCATTCTTGCATCCTCATTCCATCCTAGGCATTCCTAAGCCATGTTTAAGACTCCATAATGAGAATTGAAGGTTAGAAACACATTAAGAGCAAACGACATAAGTTATGTACAATTCGAACTTGTGTTTCAAGTGTGTATATGTTATGTGTCATGTAGGTCACATGCCGCGTACCGTTTGACCAATCTGCTTCGTCTGTCTGTCTCAAAGCCAACTGTGCATAATAACATAGTAAAGCTATGTTCAACCTTATTTATTTTCCGTGTGATGAAATAAGAATTGTTTTCTGAAATGTTATGTTCTGTACAATGAATGATTGTCCAATTTCTAATATGTATTCGTGACATCCTTAGTATCATGTGATATGTGTTGGCCGTTACCCGGTATCGGAGGTTCCATTATGGAACTTAATCTGTCTACACTCTGTTGCCCGTACCAGAGGCTCCATCATAGGGCTCAACGTGTTTATTCTCTGTTACCCGGATTCGGAGGTTCCTTTATAGAACTAGTTATTCGTAACCCTCACGTGTCTGCATCTGTTCTGTATCTGCTCTATTAGCGCTTATGGACGTATCACGTATACTTGCGCATGACTTATGATTTCTGTATATGATCTAGACAAATTATGAATTTGATACGAAACCGAATTATGAATTATGAATCTGTACGGACTCATTCATTGAAACCCCTTTACTCTGTTATTGTTCACTGAGCTTTCACTCACAGTTTATATTATGTATGTAGGTGAGCCGGCGCGTGATCAGGGCCAGAGTTGATGGCCTTCATTTCTATTTTTGTCATTCAACCGTTGTGCCTCCCGAGGAGGTTCCGATTGAAGTCTAGTTACATGGTTGTTTTTGTACTTATGTCAGTCTCTATCTGTTTTGTACAGTTGGGTCTTAGATATTACACTTTTGTAAATATTTTGTAATTATGATATCCTATGACTGACACGCTCACGTATATATAAGTTTCGAAATATTATGTCCCATGTTTATTGACGCAGCTCATTGGACTATCTATGTTTTGTACATGTGCTTTCGCAGCCCCTTATTATATGCTTATCTGAGAAAAGGCCTTTGGTAATCCACGGATTACTGGCCGGTCACGATGCTAAACCTACAGGGGCGGGTTTGGGTTGTGACAGAGTGGTATCAGAGCACGTGTTCTACCGCACACACAGGTCTATATGAGCTTAGGATGTCCTAGTAAGAGTTAGAGGCATTCCATCTGCATGTGTGAGTGTGTGGTAATCCAAATGAATATAAAAACTGAATGTAAATTTGAGCAAATGAATTGAAAGAAACGAATAAGATTATGCCTATGTTTATTATCATTTAATGTCTTTATAGTAACATGGAGAATACAAGGGGAAGTGATATAATGAATCTTCAGAGGCTCGCATGAGCCGAATGGAACAAATGCTTGCAGCATTGACTGAAACTTTGACACAACAGCAAAGACAACAACCCTTGCCCCCTCCACCCCCGCTGGCACAAGCCGAAGTAGATAATAATGACATCATCAACTTGACACAGAAATTCATAAAAATGAAACCACCGACGTTCTATGGTGGAATTGAACCGTTGAAAGCAGAGACGTGGTTGCCTGAAATGGAGAAGCTATATGAAGTGTTTCCTTGTTCTGAAGTCCAGAAAGTCCTCCTAGCCACCTATACTCTAAAGGATGAAGCCCGAAAGTGGTGGTTACTGATTCGAAGTGGCAATGGGAATATGACGTGGGCACAGTTTAATGTGATCTTCTATGATAAATATTTTTCCCAATGTTTCAGGGATCGGAAAGTGTCTGAGTTTCAAGAACTTAAACAGGGAAGGATGTCTGTAGCTGAGTATGAAGCCAAATTCACCGAACTGGCACGGTTTGCTCCACATATGGTGGATACTGATTACAAAAAAATACGAAAATTTGAAGGTGGACTGGATTTGGAGGTGTTTGATCAAGTAGGCGTATTGAAATTGCCTACTTATGTGGAAGTTTTAGATAGATCCATAATAGCGGAAGCCACACTAGCCGCTATGAAACAAAGTAAGGTCCCAGCAGCTATACAAACGGATTGGAAAGGAAAGAGGCCTGGGTATGGTTTTAGAAAAGGCCGGTCTCATGTCAGTAAGAAGCAGAACACGGGGTCTACAAGCAGCTCGAGTCAGAGTAGTGGGTCTATCCCGGTCTGTTCTGACTGTGGTAGAAGGCATAGGGGTGTGTGTTACCGAGTATCCGGTGCTTGTTTCCGATGTGGCCAGACAGGTCATGTAGTGAAAGATTACCCACTCAGGTCTAAGAATACTAGCCGTCCTACAGCAAGTTTAGTTGGATCCACCTCTATGGCCAAAACAAATACAAAAGCCAATACTGGGAAAGAACCTCTAAGACAAGGTCGAGTGTTTGCCTTAGTACCCGGTGACGTACAAAACACCTATACTGTGGTGCCAGGTACACTCTCTGTATGTTCTCAAAATGCATGTGTATTGATAGATTCTGGTTCTATACACTCCTTTGTATCGCATGCTTTCTCTCGAAAATTGACTAGACCATTAGAACTTATGACATATGTGTTATCTGTATCTACGCTGTCTAGGGGTTCTATGATGTGTGCTCATGTTTATCCAGCATGTGATATTATGATTGGTGATATGATGTTATATGT